AGACTGTTGTATTTTAAGCCCATTTCTAACACACTGTGCTGACATCTACCTTCACAGTGCCTCTGCTCCCACTCACATCCAGCCACACTGAGGGTCTAAAATGGCCCCAAAATGACTCAGAAAAATCAGCTCCCCCCATGAAAGAACCACTTCAGAGGAGCGAATGTAAGTTTTGCCATTATCCAGTAAATTTGCAGATAAAACATTTTACACTCAGCTTACATGAACCTATTCAATTTCCCGTGACCTACTCCACTGCAAAAGTGCTTTTAAAGAGCAGGGATTGCTCATCAAGTTTGCTGCTGCTCCTTAGAGTTTCTTTTTTTCTGATTAAAGTACTTGTCAAACAAGATATTCACAGCGTCTTCAACTTTACGGGCTGACGGCCGGCGAGATCCCAGGTCTGTATAACAGCTTGGGGGGCAAAGCCAAACAGGAGCACACTGCAGATGCTCAGTAATTGTTCCCCAGGAAAGTTGGTCTATGTGAAAGCGAGCAAACAAAAAAAATCCAGCGAATCCTGTTCCCATTGACAGAATGTACAGCTTCACCCGCAAGAAACAGGTGGGAGGTGTGAGGCACCAGCATGTCTGTAGATATTTGTACCAGTCTAACACACACACACACACACACCTGCTCTTCTCAACAATGGCATTAAAACTATCAGCTGATGACATGATTTCAGAGATGAATTACGGCAGAAGAAGACGGGAGGAACCGATCAATACGATGGTATCTGTTTCCAGACAGAAGCAGGGTCGGGTAGAGAAAATAGGAAAGAGAAGATGGAGACGACGACGTCTGGCCCGTGGATTATGTTTCAAAGATGACAGCGAACGGGCCTGAGGGGGTCTGACACCGTGTAGTTCCCAGAGCACTTCCTCCTTTTTGCTTTCTTTGTATCGAATGGAAAGGCTCAAGTGAAGTCGTACAAATCAGAAAAGCACCTCATTGCCATGGCAACAGGTGCTTTTTGGACTGGCTAAACATTCAAAGCAATAAATAAATAAATAAAAGCAATAAAATCCCAGGAAACGGAAGGTGGAGGTAAATAATGCCTAGGTTTTCAGAGTGCTGCGTATCTTAGAGGAAGCACAGCAGCACTGCAGAGGGCAGCAACACAAAAAAAGCTCCAGCAAATGAAAAGAGGGCAAAAGACACGAGTGTCACCGAGCAGATGGTTTATAAAGAGAAAAAAAACAAAATAAGAAAGTTAGTGGTGATTGTGGTTCAGTGTAAAACTACAAAAAAAGAAAGAAAATAAATAAACAGATCAAGTCGATGCAAATAATTAAACACAGCGACTCAATGATTTCAAGAAGATGTGACTCATTAATAAATGCATCTCTTTAAATATATATTATAAATCTGGATATACTAACCATAGCTGGATATTCAGCAGTGACTGTGGAAACATGACGGGGCGAAAGCATCGTTCATTCAAAGCAAAGGTCACCAGCATGTCACGATCCCGGGTCATGTGACCCAGCGTTTTGAGTTTTAATATATTTTGATGTTGATGGTTTAAGTTCATTAGTTTATCTACGCTCATTTCTATTATGCTTACATTGCCGTCATAGTCCATCGTTTCTTAGACCTCTTTTTGTTGTCACCCCTGTGTTTACGTTTCCTATGTTTATTCTAATCAGCTGTTTCTCCATGTGTTTCCTGCTCACCTCCTGCGTGTTTTCACTCATTCCTCGTCGTCTGTTATTCTGCTATGCTCATGGCATGTTTTCCAGGATTTTCATGTACTTTTGCCAAGTCTTCACAGTTCAGGTTTTTCATGTTCACGCTCAGGGTTTTTTTTTATGTTTAGCATTAGTTCACCCAGTTTAGGCCAGTTTTTAGTTTTGCCTTGTTTTGTACAGCTGAAACCAGCCTTTAATAAATGGCTCACTTTCAGTTAACATTAAGTTTGTTTCCGCGCTTTGTTTTATCTGCATTTGGGTCCTTCACACAGTCACTGTCACACAGCAGGAACCAAACCAGGGAGCAGTGAGATGCCCAGTGCTGGGCATACATGAACAGGACAGTTAATATTTTTATATTTTTATATTTTTATTACTACTACTAGTAGTAATAATAATCAGAAATGAACCAGAAATGCGGGTAAAGTCCAAGACCTCCTCCTCCTCCAAAAAAAAAAAAGAGCCCCTAGACATGGATCAGAATTGGTCTGCAATTATTTACTTGAGAAGATCGAGACCCATTTTCCTTAACCCCCCTTTTCATTTGATATGTACTTGAAGATGTAGACTTAATTTGAAACTTGGAATGGCAAAAAAACCTATTAAATCTCGGAGGTCCTGTCTCAGCTTAGAAAGAAAAAACTCATCCAAATCCATCCACACAAACCATTTGGAGTCAAAGAAATGAACCAATTACACGCAGCCACTTTGGCTGAAGTACGAATGGTCACTAAAACACCTTTTATTCAGTCCCCAATGAGAAGGAAGCTGCAATTATATCAGCTTCAGCCAGCTATTTTTGGAAAACTGAACACTGTATGTGCTCAGTCTCATAAGTAAAGCAGAGTTTGATATGATGACATATGTGCTTTATATTTATGGTTGTCATATCAGTTTATTTGTGCTTCCTGTTCAGTAGCTTTAATGCCTTGTTAAATCTTTTTAAAGAAATTTATTTAAGCACTTTGATGAATTTAGATGAGTTAAATTAAGAACCTTCATATTTATGTACGAAGCGAACATTTTAATAGAAAAACATTCATTGGTGCGAGTTGCAGAGACTCGACTGAATATTCCATGCACAAATTCAAACTTTAATATTTCGCCGCTGTGCATTAATTACTGTCAAGTCCTTCAAATATTACTGACGCCCTCTGTCATCAAACAGGGACAGAAAACAGCCTAATGAAACATTCTTTGATACCCACACAGAAAACGAGTCAATTTAGTGAAATTAAATGAGATAAGTAAACTTATCCAGGCTGGCAGCTCGGAAATAGACCTGCAACGCCGTGGCCCACAGTGAGAGCAGGTCTGTCTGCTTCCCCGGACCCTTTAAAGTAGGAGCACTCAGCCTGAGGATGCTCGTATATCGTTAGCGCCCGAGTGTGACCAGTAGGAGATTCGCTATTGGCAACCATCCCAGGAGTCATTAAGCTCGGCCTCTAACTGTCATTGTCCCCCTGCCTGTGGCTCCTCTGGGGTCCACGAGCCAAATTTGTGCCACCTCAAAGTTCAGAGCCATTCCAAAGGTCCAACAGCGATATGACATTACCTTTTAATGGGGCAGATTATTAGCAGAATAGAGATAAACCTGCTGGGTTTGTACGGCCGCTCTCATGGATACCTGCGTGAAATAGACTGCAAGGCTTCAGGCGTTACCTGGGTCACCTTCTGTGAGAAGACTTTGCTCACTTTAGGTCAAACTGTAGCTTTAAAGCTACATCATCAAATACCATCTTAAAAGATTAAACTGCAGTCAAGATTCTCTAAAATTCGGTTCTTTTGCTGGTTTTGTATCTTCTTTGCTCTTTTTGGTGAATATGGTTTGCTTTTTACTCCTAAAATGTTATTTTCCAGTCGAGCTCACTGAGCTCCTGCACAAGAGTTTGCAGAGAGAGAGTTAGTTTCAAAGGCGATGCCAACACAGCAAATACAGCCGGTGTTGATCTAAATAATCCCGATCATGATATGGATGTAGAAAAAGAAGCACACAGTGGACGTGATGTGGTGGGAATTACTGGAATAACCGCACTGGCACTTTTGTTGGTGGCTATGCAATTACTTTAACTAATTTTCCAAGGCATGTTTAACCAAAGTGTTTGCTTCGATTCAAGGAAATCGACACTTAAAATAATAATAATTATTATTATTGCCAAGAAACTGGAGTTAAAGTGATGGCATTGAGCAAGGATGAAAGGGCACAGATTTTATGGTTATGTAATACATTTGGCACATGCATTAGTAAATAAATGGTTTCAAATATTCTGCTGAAGTCTTGTTGTGCAGAAAATTTGCTTTGAAGAGCAATAACAGAACCAGCCGCCATTTCTGAATTTGTTTGAGTGACAACAGCGATCGGTCCACTGCTCCTGAGGGAGAAGCTACAGTACAGGACGTTTCAAACATGTCCACCACCTCATGGATTACTCACTAGTTGACAAACAGGCCACAGTACTTGAGACTGAGCAGTGGTCCGACTGACTTGGTGATGTGCAGTACCGGAGCCCCTCGGGGGACTGCGCTATGCTATGCGGACAGACACCAGAGAGACGGATGTTGACCTCAGAAGGAAGAGGATGGCTACATGTCTTGTGTCTACCCTGTGACAGGATGCTGATGTGATGGAGTACACAAACAACCTGGGCATCGACATTGACAGGCTGAACTGAAAGACCAACACAGAGGTGTTGTATGTCTCTGTGCAGTGCAGCAAGATGTTGGAGGTTTTTTAACAGACCACAGCTCTGTTGCATCTAGAGCTGTGGTCTGCTGGGGGAGCATCATCAGCTGGTGACACCAACAGACTGAATAAAGTAATTGGGAACACTGGCTCTGTGACTGGCACACGTCTGAAGCTTCATGAATAATCCTCACTGCCTTCTGCAACACTTACTGGACAGTCAGCAGAGCATCTTGTCTAACAGACTGATTCAGCTCCACTACCACAAGGACAGACACAGAAATAATAGAGCTCCATTATTATGTAACTTTTTGAAGAGAAAAAGCTAACAAAGAGAAAACGAGCCAACCACTGCTACCCAATATTTGACACTTAGAATTACAAACGTCTCATCTCAGCCTTCAGCTTCATTCACTCTAAGCCTTTATTCTGAGTCATAGTGTGTGTGTTTAATCAGCTTGCCTCTCATTGAAGCTCTTGACAGTTAATACATCATGTTAATAAACTATCTCTTTAGTCTTTTTTAGTTTAGCATGAGAATTACTGCAGTTTTACCACGTCCCAAAATGTTCTCACTGGATGATAAACTTTACATTTATATTTTATCGTGATGGGTGTTCACTTACCCCGAAGTTGGAGGCTGCAAATCTGGCTGGAGCAGAGACATTGGTGGAGGCGGTGGGGTGGGCGTAGAAGGCATTGATGTTGGCCAGCAGGGTGCTCATCACTGCCGGCACCCCTGACAGCATGTACTTAGAGGACAGGCAAGAGAATTGGCTGAGCAGGAGAAGAAATGTGGGGAAACGGGCAGGGGAGAAAGAGAAAGGAAGATTGAGGATATAAATGCAGTTAGCAGGTTAAAAAAAGGCAGAAGTGGTTATGGAGAGGCGGGAAGGAAGGTGGGTAAGCAATTAGGATAAGACAGGTGAGGACAGAGGGTAAGAAGGTCGAGAATGAGACATAAAGAGGCCAGAGGGGGAATCAGTGGAAGCAGGAGGAGGATATAAATTACGGAGAAAAGGGAGAGAGTAATTGAAGTGGACGCAGGAAATAGCGAAACATAACGAGAAGGTGAAAAACAAAAGACACAAAGAGAGACGGACGGGAAATGATCAAAAAATGAACTCAATGAAGATGAAGAAAAAAGGAAACTTCTTGTGTGGACCCGAAATTAATATTGCCAATGATGATTTAACATTTGGGGGGGGGTGGTGGAGAGTTAAACCAGTATTTCCCTCTGAAGACCCCAAAAAAAGCTAAAGGAAACTGGATATGGATGGACCAAATGGATTTGAGTTGGGTGCAAACATACCCAGGGTGTAGAATAAAATCTGAGACGTGCAAGCATTTTTCTGTCCCCATGGCTACATTTGAATCAGTTTTGGTCCACTTGGTTTTGGCTGTGGTCTAAATATCTTAGCAACAATGTAGCAAACACAGAATGACACAAAACAGGAAAGCTGATGCTGAAGGCAGCCAGTTCTAACGGAGGCTGGAGAATGGGAACTCCTTTATTCACTCTAAAGACTGGCCCCTGTATCCACGCGTCACAAGATGATCTCATATTCTTTGTGTTGTCATTTTGAATCCACACGCCAGCAAAAGATGTGGAGTCATACGAGGGGGTGGAGAGGTTTCAGAAAGCCACTGAACTGAAAAGATGCATGCAGCTACAGCAAAAAACTGTCTTTGAGCCAAATCTCAAAGTGATGAAACCAGGTTTCACTGTCGCAGAGGAAATGGCTCATTCAGTGGAAGATGCTGCAAAAAGAATATGAGTATTTGCGAGTGGTAGCTTTTTCTGAGAAGCAGAGGCTGTAAAGAGCAGAGAAACTACATGATAAAAACAAACTTTCTCACACAGAAAGCAGACACTACACTGAGTTGTCATATTGAGGGGAAAAATAATATATTACATTTAATTAAACAGCCAGTTGTATGGCAACTGTGCGGCAACCTTCACGTAAAACGTAATCAGAACGCATTTTTTCAGTTGACTAACATGATGACTTTTTTATGTGTTAAGTGGAGCATAATGTATGTGAACAAGCTTTTAGGGAAACTGAAATTTAATTTCTTTTTACTGAAATAAAACATCTCAGAAGCTGCAAGTGTCTGGCCCCTGATGTCATTGATGTTTCCCAGTGTGGAAGTTTGAAGCGGAGCCCTAAGAGGTTCACTTTTGCAGGATGCCAAATTGCTTCTAAACTTATCCACAAAATTATAAATTGTTTGGTACAAACAAATACACACATACCATTTAGAGTGTGTGAAATGTTAGACAGGGTCCTAAAAACAGGTGAATAAATTAATTTCCTCATCGGTGAAGGAGCTGTTCGGTTCACCGAGTTCTTAGTGAGACTTCTATAATGGCCACAGTGTTCTTGTATATTCCAATCACCACTTTCATTTGGCTGTGTCATTGAACGGCTCATATCCACATTTCCGCTGGGACAGAGTCTGGCCCACTTCTGCTTACAGCTTCACTTCACTCAATATTTCCCCACATGATTGCGTTATGTGATTGCGCTCCTTTTCCCAGCACACAAAACCAACACACGTCCCTTTAAGCCCAAATTCTGACATTATTAATGCAATTAAACCAGGATGTGTGTATGAATGCTTGCTGAGTGCTTCTGTGCCCCTGCCTGCAATGATCCAACCAAACAGCAGGGAAATCTCTGAGGTGAGGGGTCATCTTTTCTCATTAGGTGAGATAAACTAATTTGCATGTTGTTTATAGTTCATGACATTAATGCCTCCCATCACATTAACATGCAGGAGACACACAGGTCCACAAATAACACCGACGAGCCCCTCCTGATACATCTACCTCACATCACAGCCTGTTGGATGGACTGTAGTCAAGTGTTCGGTAAGTTTGCAAACAGAGCTTACGTCATGGCCTGGAAGATGGACTCAACGCCGTAACGCATCGCAAACTCATCCACAATTTCCTGTTGCACTTCATCAAAGTAAACCTTCCACGCGTCGTCTCCCTGAGCAGCTGGGATCTTCACCGCGCCGCCTCCCTCAACATCCGTCGTAAAGTGAAACGTATTCTAGAGAGAGGATTTAAAATTTAAAAATGTAACTGTAATTATTAACCACATGAAACAACTTTGTTTATTTTAGGAATCTGTTTTGTGTTAGCAAACAGACTCAGACGTGTGTCTACTGATCCTCAAAAAGTATTTATGAATATTTCCATTTCAAACAGAAATCCCAAAGAGGTGTGAAAAATGTTCCAAGACTTTTCGGATAACCAAAAACAATCAAAAGTCATTCCTCCAGTGCCCTCCTCTCACCTGAAATCTGAAGGTGATCAGTCTTTCTCGGTTGCTGCCCCCAAGCTGTTTTGTTTTTATTGTTGTTTCTGTAGTTATGTTTCAGTAAGAATGGAGTAAAAATGGCACGGCAACATTTATGTGACCAGGAAACATCAGTGGTTTATCAGTGATTGCACAGATATTTTTCTATTTCAGCAACCAGTTGCAAAAAGCTGCAGTGACCAACTGATTGGCCAGAGGTTGAGCGTGCAGGGTTACTGGTGGGAGGCAACCTGCTTCCAAACAATCCAATCTGCCATCTGGTCAATAAATGCAGACAGATCACACAGACTGACTGCCACGAGTCTCTTTACAATAGGAGACGTGACTCAGCTGGTTATATTCTGGTTGTATTCATATAAAAACAAGGTCACCGAGCGCCCGTGCCGTTGTGCAGTTACACTGCGTCTCTATTTGTGGAGAAACTTCAGTTTCAAACCTGTGAGGTTCTGGCTGGACTCTAAATGTAAGTAGCTAATTTGAATTTCTGTTTAATTCAATCTGATTTAATTTCTCTGTGTACACAGCACTGATTTATCACAGCTGACTGCAGTATTGTCACACACAGACTGCATGTAATTGTCAACCTGACCCCGTTCAATTGTAAACAGACTTATCGCACACGACCATAATCGTTGTGCTCGTGCCGTGGTCTCTCTTTTATGTGGTAAATTGTGAAAGCTGTTTTAACCATTTCTTTGTTGATAGCTTCATCTGAATAGAAACTATAGCATAGCAAACTGTTTAACAAATACAGTCAGTGTCCCCACGACATGTTTGATGTCCTTTACCTCATGAAGGCACATGTACTGCACGTGGTAGGGCGCCACCTTCTCCTCTCCCTCAATCTCCACGCTGATCTGAAGACGGATGGCACCAGACACCGCCGACTTGTCTGTCCTCTTTTCTGTAAGTAGAGAAAAACACAGACACAATTACTCTGAAGTGAAACATCACTCAGAGTTAAATTTGAGATGCTCTTTAGGTCTTAGATGACAAACAAACACTCTGAGACATTTATTCCCATAATCCTCTGAGTTCTGAGTGACTACATACCCAGGGTATACCACACGTCCATCTCTCCACTGAGCGTTCGGACCTCAATGATGCTCTGTCCCAGGAAGTCGTCCGACTCCCTCTTCAGACGCTGCTTCACTCGCGACTTGATGTCATCATCCTCGTCCCAAACCCGCAGCTTGATCCGGTCTGATGAGTTGTGGCACTCGCTGTGCAGACAGGGAACAGGTGGGTGGGCTGTTGTTTTGACACATGTGGCAGCACGCAGCTGAGGTGAGGCATATGCAAGCCCAGAGCAAATAAACATATGTTTGAAATGATTTAAGAACCACATGCTTTATCACTCTGCAGCCAGCAGCTACTGACTCATTAATTTGAAGGGGAAAAAAAAGGTTTCGTCTTGGCTATATTTATAAATAAAAAAAAATAGATGTCCTAACCCAAAGCTGAAATATAGCTTGAAGAAGTGCATGTGACGCAATTTTACATCATGCATATTTTAAATCTCCAAACCTCTCTTCTTATGTGCTTTATCCGTACAGAGGAAAGTTTTAAACTTCTTAACTGCTCTAAAATTCATATAAATATACAAAGTGAGAGGGCTACCAATGTTGCACCAGACAATAAAAGCTAATAAGACGCATTAGTGCTAACTGACCCACACTGGTCTGCAGCTGTTCAAATATTCCTTACTTATTAATCAGATTATATAATAAAGTCAATGAAAACCAAAGGAGGGCATACAAACTTCTATCAAACAGAACATCCACAACATTCAACCCACTGACAGGAGGCGTGCTTAACATGACTGCTGCCTTTAAAAGTTGGATTTTCCTGGGAAACTTTGGTCTAGACATTGACGTGGGTGTTACTTTGAAACGTACCGCCCACCATTGCTGCGGCACAATCACACACCTCACATGTCAGGCCTCCCTCATGGAAACAATGTTAGACCACAACATAAAAACTTGATGAAAATCCAGGCATTAATCTGCCTGGATATATGATCCCAAGGCCACAACCCATTGGACCCAAAGGAACCACAGATACTGATACTACTGCTGTATATGCATTTTGCTATTTCTAAGTCCTGCACACCTTTACATCTGTTCCACTGGGCTCCATGTACTTAAAAAAGATGCTGTGATCAGGAACAACACAGCAAAGATGATCACGAGGAATACTCTGTGCAAACCCACACAGTGTTGAAAAGACCTCTAACGAACCAAGTGAAATCATCTGTGTGGGTTTCCTATGGGTGTGCGGGACCTTCAGGAAAACTATTACAAATCATCTTCTTGCACAGCGGGGTCACCGTGACAGAGGCACATAGCTTTCAGCTCCAACTACGTTTTAAACCTGGAGGAAAACAGCAACTTGCACTTACAAGCTGAACTTTTCCTCCCAGACTGGGTTCAGGTTGCCGTAGATTGTCTTTGTTCTCTTCTTGGTTTTACCCACTTGGATGGTCACATAAGGATCACTGGAACCTGTCCTGTCCTTGGCCTGGAGACCCTGCGCACTGACGACTGACACACACACACACACACACACACACACACACACACACACACACACACACACACACACACACACACACACACA